CATTGTTATCTCAATAATTAAATTTCCTATTTTATATGAGAATTTAATTAACAATATCCTAAAAATTTAAAGAAAAGCAAGATTTTTTTTTCAAGGTAACGATTTCATCGTGAAATCAAACTCATTTTATATTTTACCAAAATTATAATTTTAAATTATATTGCCAAAATGATGCAATTAAACAATATGTCAGTGAAATTTCTAGCAAAGATTCCCAACCTGAATAATTTAATTAGCTATGAGAACAAATTTTACAATGTGCTGAAAAAAGAAAATATAATTATTAGTTGCACCATTTGGAAAAATTTGACTCCTACTAACAGGCTACTTAAACATATTTTCCAATACGTATCTTCAATCCTGCTGATCATAAGCATACTAGGTAATGGGACAGGATTATATATCGCGATGAAAGACAAACCTTTATACACTACAGTACAATTGAGCCGAGCATTTTATGCAATTAATCTCGTAAATTGCTTCTTCATGTTCCTTTACCCTATCTTGGACACCGTAGCAGAATATAATATGGCGAATTTTTGGTTACAGAGGCCTTGGAAGGAATATATGTCAAGTTATCATTTTCCTTTGGCTAAAACCTTTGTCAGTTTTTCTTTCATGATATACCTTTTGTTTGCCTTATCACAGATGATCGCCACCGTACATCCACTTTTATATAGACGCTATGTTAATGTATTTAGAGTGAGAATATTGTTGTGCTCAAGCTTTTTTTATCTTATGTTGTGGTTTATACCTTCAGGATGGTGGTTTAATAATATTAAATATAATTATGCTTGCGAGCACAACAATTTCACAATCTATACTAGGCAATTCGCACTTTACACACATGCTGCCAAAAAACGCTGGATTATATATGGTTTTTTTCGGGAAATTTTCACAAAATTTATACCCGTTTGTACGATAGTGACTTTTAACTATTATTCCCTCAAACGCCAAAGGTCTTTATTAAATTGGAGAATAAAACATATGGTGAAACCGGTTAATCTTCCGACCGCATCCATTACAACTAGAGTGGTAGCTAATGACGCAATTAAAAAAGATAATGTTATTCAAGAAGAACCATCAAAGGTTTCTGAAATTATAGAATCATTAAGCGTTCCTATTAACATACACAATGATAAAATGATTACTATAACCAGACTTATCAACACACATTTGGTAAACAATCTAAACACGCAACCTAATATGGATTGCAACTCTATGAATAGGTTGGAAAAGAGACGCAAAGATTTCAACATAGGGCTTAGCATGCTATTTATTTTAATTCTCGAATTTATAATTTTTATGCTACCCATTTCGATCTATATAATCACGATAGACTTTTACGATCATTTTCTGTCAACCATCGATTTTGATATCGCTTTCGCTGCCTGTACACTTCTAGAGTATATGTATATATCTTTAACCTTCTACCTTAATGTAATAATAAATCCGGCTTATAAAGAATACGTGGTCAAGATTCTTAAACTTTCTATGTTGTACAAATATTTTTGCAAAATTATTGATTATCTGTTAAAAGGCGTTAAAAGGATTTTCTGCTATAATAAAATTTTACCTTGAGCATCAAAATTACACAGCCAGTCTCTTTTTTAAATTTATATGTGTAATACCGTTATTTGTATCAATGTTATATTTTAATTTGTATAATTACCTGATAGAAAAAAATTATTCCTGTACACTTCTAGATATGTATATAACTTTAACCATCTATCTCAATGTAATTTAATCCTGCTAATATAGAAAAGTGCCAAATTTCTTACACTTTGTATGTTGTATAAAAATATTTTTGCAAACTTAAAGATTATCTAGGCATCAAATTTTTTTTCTGCAATAATAAAATTTTACCTTGAGTATCAATATTATATATATACCCAGTCTCTCTTTTAAATTTATATTTAGTGTAATACCGCTATTTGTTTCAAAATTGTCATATTTTAATTTGTATATTTACTTGATTAATTTAGAAAAAAATTATTATAAATAAATATTATGTTGATTATATACTTAATATGAAATAAAAATTCTAAAACGACATTTTTTGTTGTTTAAAATGTCTATAATTGAAATAAAATAGCGTTCCACAATTTTAAATAATGTAACTATTAGATTTGAATAACTATAAATAAGTTACATTTTAATTAAGGTAATTTATGCTATGTAGTTAAGTTTCGAGCAAGGTAATTTGTTAATATATCTAGTTACTTTTGAGAAGTTACTCTAATAACATTCATTTTTTTATATCGAATTTTTAACAGATTTTATAAACTTATATCTAATACAGGCATTTTTTAAAATTCTTACCTACCTTACTTTCTCGGAAAGGTACTCCAGGATGATAGGAAACTGCCATTATAACAGCTGATTTATTTAATTTCTATTTGTATATTTACAATAATTAACATTGCCTGTCAGATTTACAGGTTATAATAAAGCGGATTAAATTATATTTTTACACAACACAACACTATAAATGTCATTTGTAATAATAATTCCCTATAATGTGCTAAATTTATATATTACATTAAATAGGGACATTATTTAATTAATATGTCCCTATTTAATTAATCTTAATAAATGTAACATACAGTAGCTTAAAATTGTATATTACAACTTAACCTTACACTATCATAATTAAAGCCCTGCAAAGTGATTTTAAAAAGAATTTTGTCAGAGCCCTACCCGAGCACACATTTTTAGATCCAGCTTGAGCTAACTAAAAAAAATTTATAATTTGAGTTTAAATACTATGATATCTAAGAAATAATTAAAAATTATATGTATTTATTCACATATTGTCACCTAAAATAAAAATAAATTTAATTAACCCTCATAAATCTAATCAATATTCATAAAAAGTTTCCTTTTATTCAATTTGTATACACATAAACTTTGTTCAGTTTAAATGTATATGGAATTTAAAAATTATTGACTATAAAAATAATTTGCAAGATGATATAATTGTTTATACAGAAAAAAAATTCCTAAAAAATATAATAATAAAAATATTAAAAAGGTATAATAATAGTTATTCTGATTGACATTTTTATGAAACAAAAATTTGTATTAAGGAAAGTTTGAACTTTTAATATTTATTTATCGGGCCGGATAACCCCGCTTGAGACAACCCGATCCTTAGGTCCGTACAGCCCGTGCAACCAGAAATGTTTTTTCAGCCATTGGGTTACTATGTGCATTTATAATTGGCTCTTCTAACTTAAAAAAGCCTTAATATTTGACGGCGAAGGCTTCGTCTTATTGGTCAAGTTTTTGTAATATTTTTCTCCGTGTTGGAGGAGTTTTGGATATAATTCTGTTTATTATATTTTTTATTGGATATCTAAGCTATGATTGCATAATGTAAACGAGAAATTTTAATCAAAATAATTAAAATTATACCTAGCAATTTGATACCAATAGTTGAGAACATTAATCAATACTTCTAAGTTCAGTGAGGAGCACAATGTATATAGTCGTTGGACATTTCCTTTTTATAAAGGTCTGAAGCCTGTTGAATTGCCCACTCATTGCATGGGCTTTATCATATCACTCCTTTATCTCTAACTTTAGATACCATCAATGATTGCTATTGTTGTAAGTAGGGTGTTAAACTGATAGGTAGCTCAGTTCTATTTTGGTTCTTAGTTTGTAATCTTAAAACGGTTTCATTTCAGTTTTTATTTTTAAACGATATTACATTGGTTCATTCGGGTTAACAAATCTATATCAGTTCGTTCTACTAATAAATTTTAGATATATTAAAATAAATTATCATACATAATACATTATCTTGATGACACTTTTAATAATCTATAATAAAAAAAAATTTTTAAAAACCAAAACAAAGATTAAAGAAATTATGTGAAGTCACATAGAAATTTGTACAAATATTTTTCATTTACTCTTATGAGCCACTATCAAATACATTTATAACGATTCGGTTCTCTCCTAAAATTATCTTATAACTACTCGTAAAATTCAGGTTTATTTCGATCTCTCGGTCCTATGTAAATATATTTTTATCATTTCCATATTCGCAATTAAATGAAATTTGATAATATTAATATTTTTGCTTTATATAAAGATAAAAATCGGACCCGGTTTGCTAAACTGGTTGGTCCTTAAAAATCGGCTCCAGACCGAAGACCTTCACTAACCCTACCACAACCATTCGCTTTATTTTTTTAGGGTAAATATATAAGTCTAGCATTGCTTTGGATAGATATTTATTAATTTATAGAAGATCTAATTAATATAACCTACAATCTCTAAAGTTTAGTTTATAACTATACTTAACATTCAAGGATTGGAATTTTGAAAATTACTTATTTCAGATTTAAAGAAGGTACCTATATTTCTTCTTGGTAATCAACAAAAAAATAAAAATAAATTACAATTTTTTTTTATTAAATTCGAATACTTATAATATATTAAAAATTGCATTTATAAAATATTAAAATAGTAATTACATATAATAATAAGAATGTTTGGAAAATTGAATAAATTAAAAAAAATATATATGGAAAACGTAAACGTAATTATATTCGTTATATAGAATATCCTACTTTGGTTTGTGATGCTCAGATAATAAAATTTTATATAAATAGAGCAGAATGCTAATACTGAGAACCTATCTTTAAAAAGATTTGATTGGGGGAAAAAAAATTGGAAATTAATTTAATGTGGAATTTCGGTTATAATTGATAGAATTTTTTTAAAAAAAATAAAACCTAGGTAAAGTTGTTTACAGTGCTAAAATAAATATAATAATGAATTAATTACAATTTTTTTATAAAACTATAAATTTTGCAAATTATACTTTAATTAACTACACTTAAAGAACTCAGAAGGATATTTAGGGTAATAAGAATTTTGATTTTTGGATGTTATCACAAAAAAAGAAGACAAATATATTGGTAAAAAAAATATAGATAAAACAACATTTTTATTAGAATTAATGAATTTGAATATTATATTTAAAAAAATATATAATTTACGTATACCTTTAATTGTTATAAAATTATACAAGAATAATATATTATAAATAATATTTGAGGAACATTAAATGCCATGAATAATACAAAATAGTATATGACAGTTCAAAGCTTTGATTTAACCAGATTTAATAAGAGTGTCATATGAAAGAGTAAATAGCTATAAATAATTGTTATTGAAAACAGTTCCATAAGTTGCAGAAGAAAGTCATGTAATTTGAAGATGGTAAAACTTCTTAATCAATGAATTCAAATAAACAATATTTTTTTTACAAAAATAATGGTGGACCAGAAAATAGCAATTGTTTGTATTTCAGAAATAATTTTTCTATTTCAAAAACTTATCCAAACGGAAGAATGAGTAAACATAAGTAGGTTGGCAAAAAAATCTAAGGATTACTAATTCTAGTGTTGTTAAACGGCTCATTTTGAGCCGATTTTTAAAAACGGCTGTCTCAATACTTCTGCAAAAACAAATATTGCCTAAACCTCAAAATTTGATTAATATATGCCTAGACCTTTGTGCCTTCCATGAACAAAATCTTCAGGCTTGCTTAATATTTTTCTGGGTAAAATTTTGAGTTAGCCGTTTTTAAAATCGGCTCAAAACTAGCCGTTTAACGACACTAGCTAATTCTATGGGATAAAGTTAATACAGTTGTATGATACAGGCAAAAACAACAGAGCCTCAAGATTCACTCGCACAAATTAAATGCATTTTTAACCTTGAAAGAGATTGGCTTTACATTAACCGGGGGATATCTTAGAAATTGACAAAAAATTAGCATCTTATTTTATAAAAAGGGTTATCTAGTTTGGTGGCATAAATATGACTTTTTCTGAAGTTTTAGAGTTAATTTTGTGAATAAATGCAAAAAAAACGATAACAAAAAAGTCACATAAGCAAATATGGGTTTCATAAATAACTCTAAAATTCACATATTTTAAACATTCTTGAAAATCGTTAAAATTTGTTCAATTTTCGCCTTGAAAATGGAGTTTTATATAACCGGGGTTAGCTAGTTCTGTGGCACAAAAAGGGCAAACTTTTTTGAAATCGGCTGATGGGATATTGATTTCTGACCAATATTTAGCGGTTGATTCGTTCGTCAAATGACCACAAGGGTCAAAAGAGTGTGTCAAAGGGGAGGAGCTTCGATAAAACGCCGATTCGTAACCTGGGTAGAGAGCGGTAATGGGACCTATCTAAGAATATTGTAATAAAATATATTATCGAATTACAGTAGTTATATCCCAGGATTTCGCATTATTTGAGATAAATAATGTGAATGTATAAAATAAATTACAAATATTGTAAAAATGAAAAAAAACAACTAAAAATATTACCCATTTTTAATATATATATATTAACCATAACCCGTATCACTCTCTATTCCCACCTATTCGTGGAGGTGGATTTCTGGGAAAAAAACTCTCCCGAACATCTGAAGTTATATATGATTACCCAAAATGAAGGGGAAGTTATTGGCGTGAGGAGCCAGTCTAATAAATAGAGGATGATAGAAATATATATGATAAAGAAATGAGTCCGTCCTGGAACCGAGATTCTAACGTCGTTCACAATTCTGGGTAGTAGACTTACGATTTCCGAAAAGATCCCGCAGCCTGTAACCAAGAGATCGCGGAGAAATATAATTGACCCAGGAATGTGAGATATTTTGAATCAAGGGAAACCCAGAAGAAAAGTTATTGCCCATTAAGGGTGACCATGGAAGCCGCGGTCAGGTTTCGTTCACGGGCCTTTATTTTGCAACTTGAATGCAAGAGTTATGGGATATGTTGGGTTACGCTACAGAGATCCATGGGGGAGGGTGTCATGTAATTGGAAATGACTGACTTGAGAAGAAGAAAATAAATGGAGAGATGAAATCAGAATGACTTGGGAGGGGGAATATGAAAAGATTTTTTAAATAATACTTTATAATTTTACGCCATTTTAATTATTTTTAAAAATTTATTAATTTTTTCAATAATAATTTAAAATAAATTTTTATGCGATTTGGTGTTACGTGTTAAAATTTAACATATTAAAACTACTTATCAATAGGTAATTCTGAGCAAATCATCAAATGCCCATTAGACCGTTAGGTCACTTAGATGTCTGAAATGTGCGGACCTTTAACCAGAACGCCCACCCATTCATGGCTAAAAATTACACATCCGTCCATTTATCTAAATAAAAATTTAAACCCCCTATGCCTAATATTTATAATTATTTTTATTTAATTGCACTCAAAAATATTTTAAATTTACCCCCTCCCCTATATAATTTTTAAAATATTTTTAACCTGCCAGCCCGCCTGCCCAATGTTTTAATTTTTAGAGGGATATTAACGAGCCCATCGCAGATCACTTGTCATTTACTGATATTCTTTATATATCTATTCCAATGTGTAGGTTAGTGATCTGTATCGGGCCTAATTTTTCAAGCCCGGCCCGAAATTTTTTTAAAAGATTTTGCCGGCCCTAACCCGAAATTTTTTTAAAAAAGTTTTACCGGCCCGGCCCGAACCTGAAATTTTATTAGAAAAATTTACAGACTCGGCCTAGCCCGAATTTATTTAAATATAGAAATTAATTTTTATAATTACTCAAAATAAAAGACATATGTTATATGTCGTTTAGTTTCAATAAATAAAATCAAATATTTTTATTTTACATAAAAAATTCAATATAAAATTGATAAATTTAGATATATTTAAAAAAATTTCCAAGATCCGACCAGGCACAAATTTTTTTAAAAATATTAAGCCCAGCCTGAACCCGATTATTTTAAATAAAATTAGGCCCGAGCCCGGCCCGAAGCCCTTTTGGGCCGAGCCGGGCCTAACTTTGCAGATCTCTAGTGTAGGTAACTCAAATCAAAAAGATTCGTTTTAGTAAATATCTAGGTAGAGGTCAATGGCTCAAATTTTTTAAATATTTGTCACAGATTTTGGACCAGGGATGTGAACCCTTTGCATATAAAAAGCGTTTGGTCCAGGGTTCAGAGATAATTTTTTTTAAAGATGGTTCAGGGTTTGGAAAGCATAAAGAAACACTGACTAATTATTAATAAAATAACCTTGGAAAAACATAAAGAGTTCAGAAGGTTCGAATCCACATTCCCGTTAGAACAGCAAATATGTTTAAACAAGATCAAGGTTTAAAACATAGATTTTCCTGATGTGTCCAACAAAAAAGAATTTTTAGACCCTCCTGCATTACTGGAGGTCATAAATAATAATGACAAAAAATGTTGCAACCAATAAGAAAAGAAGATTTCCCTTCTTGATTATGGTGGTATTTTTCATTATATTGAAAATAAATACTTTTTGGCATATAGGACATTTCCTGTTGTGATCGCCCTGCTTGCCCCATTGATGTAAACCTTGGACGTGCCCACATTTCAGGTATACGTAAGCTCTATTATCCGAGTTAGCACAATTTTCAGAAGTTTTATCTGTGGATTTAGATTGAAAAAAATAAAATAATATAAGTATATACTAGTCGCCATGTTGCAAGTTTTCGCTAAAGGTATTCTCGTGCAATTATATCCTATGTATTAAAAAGGTTTTTTAGAATATTTCAAGGGGTGGGAGGGGGGAGTTAAGATTGTTAAAAAACGCTATTCGGGTCTATTTTTAAAAATGAACCGATTAAGATTTTGCCAAAATAATATTTTGTAAGTCTAGTTCATAGATGACAGAAAGGTTTGGACCTCTATTTGCAAATTTCGAGGCTTAAACAATATCATTTTGGCTAAAATTGTACGAATAGGGGTTTTAACAACTCTAGATAAGGGAGGGGGCTTGAAATTAAATGGTTATTTATTAATTTAAATAGGAAATTACTCTGCTGATTAGAAGGGGTTTTGTTATAGTTTTGAGAATTTTTCTTAGGCACAATGAGAGTGGATAACCTTACAGGACATTGAGGTTTACAAGCGTTGAGCTTCTCCACGTATCCTTCTATGTCTTTAGAGTTAGGGGAAGTACTTAGACCTTGGATAGATCGCCATAGTAAAGTGGCCCCGCATATGTCTATGAGGGACCAGTCTGAGAGGAGATTTGTTTGAGAATCGATCTAAAATATCATTTATGATGAAGGGAAAATGAGGACTAAAATTTAATAAAAAATCAAATATAATGTGAGGGTTACAAAAAAAGATGAACGTCAAGGCCAACAAGAAAAATTTTAAAAATTTGTTGATTAATCAAAAATATTGAAGCGATTATATCTAAGTGCAGGAATGATATAGAAATCGTTATTCAGTATAAAACAAACAATAAACAATATATTTCGAGTTTTTATGCCATTAACTAATTTTCTTTTCTAAAATATCCATCATTGTGTCATGCATTAAAAAAGAAATATGTGCATTGATATAAATCGTAAATGCATAATTAGTTGGAACTTTCTCAAAAACAGTAAACTAAAATATTTAACATTTTGATATAATTATTGCATAATATTTTATCCCCCTTTATCTATAGATATCACTTCAAGATTGTGAAAGAGATTTTTCTCATGTAAAGGAAAATAAGATCCTTGCTTAGGCATGGCGCCCATTAATTATAAAAATAACAATATATAAATTTTTTCATGATTAAATATTAATTGTTAATTAATTTTTAAGATTATTTCGATAATTTTATAATATAAATTTATTTAGAATTTTTTTAAGGAATAAATTATAAGTTAAATGTAAAAAATTATTATTTTCTATAAATGTTCGGTTTGAATAGAATTTGTTCGAAAGAAAGATAAAGATAGGGTTTTTGTTATTTTATAAAATGTTGGAATTGAACAAAATATAAAAATTGTGCTCTCATGATAAGAGTTTCTGTGCGAAAACAACGGTAAACCATGTATATTCTTTTTTTTAATATTTATTAATTCTTTCTTACCAATTTTCCGCAAGTGTTCATGGCTTGAGGTGATCTCAAAGAGTAAAGTCGACCCTCCACCGATACTTCGTACCACTCCCTACCTTTATTAACGCCATCTATAGAGTTTGGTGATGTTTGATAAGTTGAAGTGTCGTGAGATATAAGGATGCCATTGGTAGTTAAGCCGTCTACTAAATCGTCTCCCTTGCGCCATTTCACAGCTTTAGGCTAAGTTTTCATAAATTGATATATTATATGGTAAGTTTTATTTTTCAATAATAACCGAGTAATTATAAGGGAAAAGGCGAAGATAAATGGAATGACGAAACGAACTGGCACATTATCTCAAGGGTTGGTAAAGGAAGGTGAAAATTTTAAATCGTTAATACCTATATTAAAAAAAATCTTAAAACATAAATGTAATCAATTAATTATGATTCGATTAATATTGGGTCTAATAATGTTCATTATTTTAATTTATTGGATACGAATGCGATTAGTGAAAGGAAAGGATATTAAATTTATTAATTGAAAGACTTGTGGGCTATAATAAAAGAGAGGATCATAATAAACGAAAGAAAATTAAAACAAGTTAAAAGTTGGCAAATCATAGTAAATATCGAACAAATTGTTTAAATTAATAAATTTTACACAATTATTTAAAAAAAAACAATCTTCTAACTAAGATATGATTGAATATTTCTGATAGGCCTACGATCTAGTAAGGGTAGCATGTATAATTTTGAACGTTATGGATTTTTTTTTATAAAAATATTAGAGTAGCGTTTGTGACATAATCGGCGAATGAATATGACACATGTCTATAGATCTGAGTTCGAATTCAGCAAAGACCATGTTTTTTTGAATCCAAATAAGTGCTTCCCTAATATGGGGTATGATATATAGAATATTGGAAGTGATCGCGTTATTCCGTTAAATATATATTAAAATTGCATTTTAATAAAATTTGGTTGTTGTTTAGCCAATTGCTATATTTTACAACCAACGCTATATATTAGACCATTTTATAAGATAAATATAAAGCTTCTTTGGTCTCTATTGAATGCGAAAACTTGGGAAAAAGGACACTAATGTTGCATTCACATTAGCGCGAATTCGCGACGAAGTATACAAAAATACGAGGGTGAAGCCTGGTTCATAGAAAACGCGAAATACCGCGATATCTATTGAGCGATGCGTAAATTACAAAAGAGTTACGTATCGCTTCATCAATATCGCGCTTACTATAAACGAGTTCTTATGCTATATATAAAAATTATAATTTAAATATTATACTGGACAAAAAAGATAAGTAAAAATTTACAATCAATCATAAATAAATTATGTTAAATATTTACTATGTTTTAAAATAAAACGGAAAAGAAAAAAATTAATTGATTTAATCATATTGTCATTAAATTTGCGTTAGTGAGAAAGGTAAGATGACTCTTGTATTATTTGTTTTCTAAATATCACCATTCTTTAATTCTCGATGAATAAATATAAATTTGGCAAGAAATAGATGTCGAAAGCCATAAAAAATTTGTACAAGACAAAGAAGTCATTAATATAGCAAAATCTCCTAGAATATGCAAAAAATGTTATTCGATATTATTAATAATTTTTTTAAATATGGAAATAAAATGAAGAATGAAAATCTAAATAAAATCTTTACCCCCAAGAAAATGTTACGGCCGGAATCGAATCCAGCAGCGTAAACCCGTATTGGGTTAGGAGGGTGTCGTCCTACTGTAAGCCTACACGCGAACCTGATAATTACAAAAAAACCGGATATAATATTGTATAATGATCACGAAACAAATTAATATTAGTCGAGCATATATCATAATTGAAGGACCTAGAAATGACGCTTTCAGCTGGAGGCTGTGCCATAGCACTAGAGGGTAAAATAATCTGATCACCATTGCGCAAGCGCCGTGGCCCTGGACAATTTACGTGTGATGAATTATTCTTTGGATGGTCTGTATGTTGTGTTTGTGGAGAAAATCTGTGAGGATAAAGGGTATCTAAAACAACAAAATCGATCGGTTTTTCCGGGGACCGGCCTATTTGAAACATATCGAGAGATGGATCCGGCCGATATTCGTCTACCACCAATAACTTTTTTGGGTTCAGTCAAATGTAAGGGAAGATGAATGGGAGGGGAAAAAATAAGATTTATGTTTATGAAATCAAAGCTTAATTTATCATTTTAACTCTATCGCGGGGTATAGAGGGCCCCAAATGTGTATAAAATTAATATTTCTTAAGAATGGTTATTTTTTATGATCTTAAACCTTCATACATTAAATGTTGTCTTAGAATACATATCTAAAATTTCCTTATTAATACACTAGTTTTCAAAAAATATAAGCAATTTGTGAGGTACTTGAGTATGTCGAACCCTACAAGAGTATACATAAAAAAATTTAAACCCTGGGATATTATTTTATATTTTATTTCTATTAATTTTATAAGAGTCAAGTCAACATTAACTTTATATGAAATATATCTTGGTTTTAATATCGACTAATTTTTTTTAGCATAATAAATTAAGAAAAATAAATATTTTATAAAAGATAAGATTTATGATAATTATAGGTAGGGAAACGACTAATTTCAACCAGCTTAATCAAAATTAACCAACTATTTGCCAGCAAAACGGTGTGTCTTTGGCAAAAGAGTATTTTAATATTAAGTTAAAATCCTAAAATTTGGGTTAGCATTCCTTATACCATTTTATCGTCTGACCCTTCCTCATTTCCATTTGGTGCCTGGCCGACGAAGGTGTAAGACACAGAATATGCATCAGTTCGAGCTAGCAAGGCTCGTGCACGACTACTATCACGTAAGCGCGTTCCAAAAACCACTCCGTCAGGCCGACCGTCTTGGCCCGCCACTTCAAACCTACTACGCTTGCGCCCACGGTCTCCATTATTTTGAAAAGGATGGTGGAATGAAGAGCCATTGTTAGGGTAGAGATCAAAGTTTGTTGCAGAGGATGATAATGAGCCATTGTAACTTTTTTAAAAGTAAAAAAATAATACAAAACTATAATTCTTTATTTATTTTTCTGATCTTATATTTAAAAAAAAAATCATACTTCCTTTTTGATTCATAATTTCTCTCTCTATCTTCCTTTTTTACTCTTTATCATTTTTGTTTACACTTAATTTTTAATTCATTTGTGATAAAATTTATTTTTATATTTCTCTTTTTATTTCTATTCTGTACTATGAAGTTTTTTAAGGGAAAATTTATTATTATAGATTGGCCTGGCCTATGAAGAGTTTTAAAGATTTTTTGGCCCAGCAAAAAGTTTGTCTTGCCCTGAAAAATATTGTACCAGGCCAGAACTTGTTGTGAAAGAAAATTAAAAATCATAAATTTGCATTACAGGTTAAAAAAAATTCCAGGCTAAACCAGGCCAAAAGAGTTCTTTCTACAAATTCAATTTTTTTACTTTTTATAAATTTTTAAGTTCCATCCTACCCCAAAATATTTTCAAATCAATAGGAAAATATTTAATTAACAAAATATAAATTAATATTTTTACAAAGATAAATGAAGTAAAAATAACTAATTACTATGTCTTTCAGATTCAATCATCATTTTATTTTGATAAAACATCATCTATATTATTTATAAATTTTTATTATATTATTGGGCTGGAGCCTTGCCTGAGAATGTATTATAGGCCCACTAGTCCAAATTTTTTTTTTAAAATATCTAGGCTAAAATCTGACTTCAAGCCTGGCTCTATCAGGCCAAGTTGCAGAATAATAGCCAGGAAATATATGAACTATAGTGAAATTTAAAAAGGACATCTTTTTATTTGTAAGTTTTTATAAAATATATAAATTTTTTGTATAAAATGTTTTTACTGACTTAATGTACTTTATTTGATTTAATTATTCCCAGACCAAATTCTAGACAATCTTAAGCAGTTTAAAAAAAATTTAAATTATCATTGGAATGAGAGTTTTTATCTTATAATTAAGAATGTGATCTTGAATGATTATATTAATTGCTAAAATTTATTATTTAATCATTATTTTTTAGGATTCATATAAGTGAACTTTTAAGAATGTACCTTTTAGTTTATTTTAAATCGACGTTTTATTTATTTAATGAATTTTAAATTATAATTGTATTAAAAGTGTGTTTATTGTTATAAAGATATTAAATTATATAAATTAATTGATAAAGTTATAAAATAGAATTTCTAAGTTACAAAAATTATAAATTTTAAAAATTAATTGATAAGGTTATAAAAATAAATTGCCAAATGTAAAAAATTATTTTGTACTTGTCAGCTATTTTTTAGTTCAATTTTGCACTTGTCAGCCCAGCCAATTTTTTTTAGTAAAGTCCAGCTTTGCACCATTAAGCATATATCTGGACAGGGTTTGTAGGTCTACCACATTGACTACTAGAGTACCACAATTTTTTTATTTTTTTTTTGCATGAGACTATGCAGACCCCAGTTATTTTAAAAACGTTATTACTTAAAATTCTTTTGATATTTTTGCATAATCTTTTAGTAGCTTAACATTTTTAGGTAAATTCTAGGTGTGCATAATTAATTTTGATTTTGTTCAGTAGTTCATGGACACCATCTGATCATCCAAAAACTTTTTTCATCTGTTTTGGCATTGATATATTAAGCATAAGTAAACATTTTTTATATATCATTTTTATTAATTAAAAATCATATTATATTAATATTTAAAATTTAGATAAACATTGTATATCATTAATTTTATTTATATATTTTATCATATATTGACATTTTAGAATAATTGATCACCTTTTAAACTATCTTGACAAAAGCTGCCACATATTGATATAATAAGAATAAATTTTTAAAATAACAGTTAAAATCATTAAAGTAGCTTATTTAAAATATGTATATAATATGAAAATTACAAATTAATTTGATTCTAAGATATAGTGTTCCTTAATTGGGGTCTGAGGGACCACCACTAGTCTTTCACAAGATTTTCACCTATGCAATGAAGGTTTTTAAAGTAGAAATCTATCACACAAAACAACTATCACATTTTTAAAATTTCCAAAATATACAACAAAAACTCCCATATTCCAAATTTTTTTCAAAAATGATGTTTTTAAATTTTCTATATATTAGTATTTATTTAAACTAAGGATTAGTTTCCTTTCTAACCTGGCCAGAAAGGGCAAAACAGAGGGGTTTGGGGTGAAGGCTCCAAAATATATTTTTACAAAAATCTATCGCCATTTCCAGACAGAACGTTTTTTCAAAATGGTTTAAAAAAAAACTAACGTTGAATCACAAGAGGCCATTTAATCATTATTAAAATCAAACCAGTATGTTTTCTATTTATGATTAAAAAATAGGGATCTGGATTGTTGTTTTTAAAATATCATATATAAAAAAAATTAAATGCAAACCAGTGGCGTAGCTAGGAATTTTCCTTAAGGGGGTCCATACATATAAAAGCCCCCCGGCCTTTGGCCAGGTTTATTTTATAACCATATCTTCGATAATATATATTACATATATTTTTTAAATGCATCAATAATATGTTATTATAATTTAGTAGATTATTATCAATGACTTTATATTACTATCCAGAATAATTTCAATAGTAAAATAATATTCTTCCACAAACATCAAAACCAAAAAAATATAAATATTAATGGTATTTATTTGATATAAAGTCACTTTTAAGTCTTTTTGAACGTATAATCTAAAAATAATTTTTGCTCTAGGAGGGGTCCAAACCCGAAAACCACCCCCGTAGCTACGCCACTGATGCAAACTAAGGTTTGGTTAGAAGCCATTCCCAGTTCTAATCTTGGCTTCCTCTTGATGAACAGATACACATTTCCATAGCTCTCAGCCTTGGCTGTAATGCTGAAGTTCCCTCCATTTGTATTGACTGTGGCAATCATATTGAATTGAAAGCTTACCATCCCTTGCACTGCAAATTCTCCCATGGACAACAACCGTGTCATAAATCTATCAACATTCTCCTAGCTGCCCTCAAAAATATTTCATCCACTCTCAAACTAGTGGGCCTCTCAACTGAAAACACCATACATCCCAATGAGATGTCCCTCATTCCCTGGACTTATGGCCTCCCATTCACTTGGGACTATACCTGTGTTTAGTGTTGTTAAATGGCACATTTTGAGCCGATTTTTTAAAATGGCTAACTCAATATTTTAGCCAGAAAAATTATGCCTAAGCCTCGAGATTTCGTTAATATATGTCTAGACCTTTGTTTCTTCTATGAGCAAAATCCTCAGGCTTGCGTAATATTTTTCTGGATGGAATATTGAGTTAGACGTTGCAGCAAAGTCCAACCTCTCATTTTCTGCCATTGAAAAGGCTGAAATCCTAAAAAAATATATGCTGGCCTTACCAACATTGTGTTCATACCAATCGTTACCAATATCCTTAGCATGTTTGGAAGTGATGCCCTCAATTTATTAAAATCATAGGAAAAATAATGAGACAGATCTCAGGGGACCCTAATGAAGGATTCTACCTTTGTCAGTTCACTCTTCTCTATGGTAATTTGTACTCTATTTTTTAATATTTTTTTTCAGTTCTTTTTTATATATATATTTAAAACCCATTTTTAATATATACTTATTTGTTTTTCAATGTATATATATTTAATTATTTAGTGTATATATATATATCCTACTTTAAAATAAAGAAAATGATTTGACCATTAAACAAGTTAGTATTTTTATAAAAAAAAATTGCTGATAACATTACCTAATAACCACTTTGAAAAAACATTGTTTAGAAATGGGAAATGGCCTACTACATTCAAAAATTTTTTATCTGGATTACATGATTCATTTTGATAAAAATGGTAAACTTTAAATAAATATCTTAATATTTTGACATATTTTTTTAATATTTGTTATAAATTATTTATATTCATTTATAATAATAAATCGTCCATATAAACCAAAGATAATATAATATATTTGATAAAATAAATATAACTAGACTATTTATGAATATGGATATAAATAATTTATTGTATAAAAAGATAAAACATGGTAAATAATTATATCTTTACAGATATAAAATTTTCAGAATATTATTATATATAAGATAAACTTTAAACTTACCCAATTAATATCAATTCACCATACTTGGAATAATTATGAAAATTTCCGTTATGATTTGCCTTACTATTTGAAATTTTTTGATTATTTTGATCTTTGGACTTCGATTTAATATTTCCATCAAATGTAGAATTTTTAGGGGAATCTATATCGAGATTTAAATTGTTGAAGCTAACATCATAATTATTAGTATTATTTATATGCATTGCATTTTGCATCAAAGCCATTCTTTATGTAAGTCATATGGTAAAGAATATAATGACAAAAGACCGATTTATACTTATTTTTTTTTGTAAGTGCAATAGTGATATTTTTTATAAGCCATTGAAATTATAAATAAATCAACAAGTTAATGCAAATTTCCTAGAGTATAAGCATAATTATTGTTGTGAAAAACTTAAATAAACATCTGCTTGGGTTTATTAAATGGGAGGGGTGCTATGTAGCTAATATCAAATATTTAATAAAAAAATTAACCTAATGACTTGTCTGACATTTAGACAAATAATTGAATTTTGAAATTTATACTTATTTTGGTGGTAGGTTGTTCACACGTTTTATTTATTTTTAATTATGCTCAATTTAGCGTTGATAAATTATCTCGTTTGCTATACTTTTAAACATAGGTGTAGCAAATAGGGCCCTTCCTTTGGGAATTTTTGTAAATACTATTTTAGGTTAATATATGATATTTCGACCCCCCCCCCCTTCATCCCTACCTCTCCTCCAAATTTATGTAAAATATGCCACTATAAATAATAATTTTTTGAAAAACAAGTGCCAATATTACAATTCAAAATTTTTAGGAAAAAAGAAAAGTGAGAATCCAAGGTATTTTTTAAATATAAGCCTGCCAAAGGCTTGCAATAGTTTGGCCTGTGCGAACCCTAGCTAATAGTTCTTCCCCTCCTCGTTAAAAAAATATGTTTATGCCAATGGTATGCATTGTTGAGTTGTTGGTGTTTTGAATAGGAATGATGAAAGGCGATGGAATAAAAAATAAAGGGGGTGTATGACAGGAAGTTAGAATAATACTTTTTATTTTATTTTATTTTATGCTAGTTTTATTTTTAAGGATTTTAGGTTAAAATTGAAACCATAGGTTTTCAAAACCTAAAATAATTTTATTAAGTTAAATATTAATTTATTAGTTTTGGATAATAATTCTTAGCTGCTTCAAAGCTATGCTTTTAAATAATACAGAGAGGTTCCAGTTTAGTTGCACTAGCCCTATGAATAGAAATAAAATACTGTTGATGTTGATTTTTTTAAAACTTTTACGTGTTATTTTATTAAATGATTAGGGGTCTCCTCTTCGAGATTTTTGAAATATAAAGTTAAAAATAAACTTAATTGATTTTTGTTATTTATTTATTACCTAACTGAATGTTTTTATATATCTAAAATCGCTTAAGAATTATGACAAATGTAAATTTGATATTAAATACCATTTTTCTTATGGGCTCGGAAGATGACAGTCGTATGCCATACACCTTAGCAAGGAAAAATTACTTTCTTTATTTACCTGCTCATAAGCTATTTTGGATTGATAGATTACGAAAATATTGATAACGAGTCGAAATGTACATTCATGAATTTAAGCAGAACATATTTCAATTTTCTACTTAATTTATTTCCAGAAAATTGTTGATTCCTGAATATTAATATGATTGCTCTCAATATGAATGGTCACGTTAGTATTAATTAAATATATAATGTATAGGAAAATATAATATTGGATAGAATTTAAGAAAATTAAAGAAAATTAAAGAAAGCTTAATAAAAAATTAATCACAGGGATGTCCTTGCCTTGCCTGGGCAAAAATATTTAACCAATATCATAGAAAAATATTAAACAGATATAACCAATATCATAGATAAATATTAAACAGATAAGAGAAAATATAATTAGACTAAATACCAAAATGAATGTTACAATATTTAATTTATATTCCGTAATAAATGTGAATATAAAATCTATTAGATTCATTTGTTTATTGAAAACATACGCCATCACAAAATGGGTATTATAATTGTTACATTGATTATAAAAAATGAAACATTCTAAAAAAAGAATGATTATTATATAACTTAAATGTAGAAATAATATATCTTAAAATATAGGACCTTTTATTTGATACCAATATCAAATTTAGATATTTTATCTCTCCTACTAGAGGTGGGCACGGGCCTAATTTTTCATTCACGACCCGCCCGCTCACGGTGGCTATAAAAAATACACGCCCATTCACGCTTACCATTAAAAAAATTTTGACCAAATCCGCCCGCTCACGATAAGCATAATTTTGATTCACGCCCGTCACGCCCGAAAATTCACGGTGTTTTTAAATTTTTAAAAACTATTGCTATAATTTTACACTTTTTTGAATTCATTCTATTATTTCTCTAATTTTATAATCCTTATTAATAACAAAAAATTAATATAATCTATAAATCGAAATTTATTTAGAAAAGAAGAATGTCCATCTTTTTTTATTTCAATTGTGTACGCCTTTCCTCTAATAAAAGATTGGCTACAGAAAATAACTTTTCACTAGAAGCCGAACTTGCAGCTGACAAAATTTTACTCGATAATTTTCTCAAAAAAGGAAATGAATATTCCTGCTTCCAAAACTTCAAAGTATTGTCGTTATTTATCTTATATGAATCTTTTAAGTTCAACCTCAGAGCATTCATCGGTCATGAAATTCTCTAAATTTTTTTTTGGAATATACGGTCTTTTATGAATGTAGGATGAATTAGGAAAGTGATAGTTGGTATTGATCATTTAGAATAAACGGTTTTTTATGAGTTTAGGATAAGTTAGGAAAGTTATAAATGATAGTTGGCATCGACTTATGCATATCATCTAATTTTATATCATTTAGAATTTTTATGATTGTTTTATATATATCATTTTCTTCTTTTATTAAAAACTCAAGTCTTTTGAAATTCGGATCTAGAATTAAGCCTACCTTATGTAGTGGCTGCATAATAATCTTTTAAAATAAATCTTTTTCTGTATTTTAAGGTTTTGATTATTATTGCATCACGTTTAGAAGGTTAAAAGAATTTTACTAATTTTTGTTTCCATAGAAAAACTTTATTTATTGTGGGACGAGAATCTGCTCTCAGATTATCCGAGCATTCTTTAAATATTGATAAAAAATTATCTAACTCGCGTATGACTGATATCAATTGTGGCTAATCTATTTAATTTTTGCCTGAAAAACAAGTACACCTTTATTTCAGAATATGATTTTAAGAAACTCTGTATCATGATATATACAGAGTTCAGCGTCTACATGAGCGGGAGAGGTAGGAACAGTTTGCATCCTATTTTTTTGAGGGGGTAGGGGGTAAGCTGCTCTAATGGGGGTAGGATAAATTTTTTTGGGGGTTATCTATTAAATTTTGAGATGAAATAGGACAAAATTTATTGCTGTAAAAATTAATACTTTTATTATAGTATTATTATAATACATTCATCGACCAAATCTATATATTGCAAACAATCATACACATTGTTTTCCAAATAAACTATCCTTTTAAATGTAATTTAAAAGGTTTAGATATTTTAGCAAGCTCATAATGCCATAATAATTAATTCTTTGTAAATAATGGAGGTTTTAATTGAATTTATTATCTAAAAAATAAATTCTTTATATTCACAAAATATCGATAGTTGGTAGTAGAGATAAATTAATTTAAGTTATCCTTTATAAATTCTTTGAAAAGAGTATCAATAAATAAATAAGTGAAAATAATGATAAAGAGATACTGCCGCCAAAGGCGGGGATTTTTAGGGGGGTAGGCAAAGGTTTTTGAAGGGGGTTTGCATCCAGTGAAAATCCTGTCATGTAGACGCTGACAGAGTTCCATCTCGTTATTCTCGCTATTACATCTTGTTTAAGGGTGTGGCTTATTAGTTTGATATTAGCTGAGATTGTTTGAAATATTGTACTGTTTTCTTACACCATTTATATTTAAGGCTATTTCAGTTAAACAATTGTCAAAAATATAATGCATAATATTATTTAGTATATGGCATATACATGCTAGCGTTTCGTCATCTTTGAATGCACTTATAAGATTTGCTCTGTTATCACTCACAACTATACATTTATTTAAGTAATCTACCTCTGTATATTCTCCTAAAATTGAATTGACTACACTTTTAATTTTGACTTTTTTTTCATCCATTGCCCTTGTGGCCAAAACAAATGTTTTCAATTTAAAATCCTTAATGATAAAATGTTCTGTAATGGTTAAAAAACTTATATTTTTATAGTCATCCGTCAAATCAAATATCAGTGATTATGGACAAGTAATTATTATTGATCATGCTTTTAATCTTAAATTTTATTTTATGGTATATTTTTGGACCTATAGTATTCATGAGTGTTTCCGGTTCACAACTTTTATATTTTGTTATCCATATGTAACACCAACATTTATCTCTTGGCCTAGATTTAAAATCCTTCACTTTCTGTTGCATTTAAAGAATTAAGATTTTTACAAATAAAATATAATTGACTTTTCTGTAAAAAGTTTAAGCAAAATTTAGCATAAAGTCTCGCGATAAAAACACCTAAACATCAATTTTAAAAATTAAAATTTCCGTGATGCACGGGAAATTTATGTTCACACCCGATCACGCCCGGAGAAAGTTTTGGGAAGGCCCATCACGCCTTGAAATTTAAAATTTATTCACACTCACGCCCGTGACCCACCTGACACGATGGGTCTCCCGTAATATCACGGCCCGCGCCCACTTCTATCTCCTACACCCCCCTCCCGTATAAAAGATATTTAATTACGTTTTACTTCATACCCATATAATTTATTTTAACCCCTCCCTCCATTCACCCTAGACCAAATTCAACCCATTAAGTCCAAGAATAATTATTATAAATTTTGTTAAAAAATATTTTAATTCGCTTTTATTTTATACCCATATTATTATGTGATAATAAAAATATTACCAACTCCCTAAGACCTATACCCACTCACTTAGAATAACAATTTAATTACCTTTAATTTAAAACCCTTATCAAATTTTTATTTTTTAACTCCCCCCCCCCCTTTCTCCTCTCTTCACCCTCCCTCAGACTAAGTTCAACCTATTAAATTTATAAGTGAATATTTTCTAGAAATATTTTAACAAGCTTTTATATGATACATATATCAATATTTCTTGTTGATGAAAATCAGTGA